TCGACTGTCTTCTTACCTTTTTCACTCAATGTTCTGCCAGTATGCATTTCTAAATTGAATCCACTTTGATCGGAATGATATGTTACTTGCACTTTTGGTTGATAATTCTGTTTTTATGAGGTTGATAAAATTTTGACAATCTAACTTTAAATTAGCCTCACTTTCAACAGATACTTTAGTTACATATTTAGTTATTTTACGCGATACAATTTTATGCTTTTTTTTGAATAGTAATATCCAACTGGGTGAAGCTTTAAACCAAGGCATATCTAACTCATACTTTTTTTGTAAAGCCCATCTTTTAAGATCTAAATCATGCACTGTTAACTGCCGATCTAAAACATCTTTGAGTTGTTGTAAAGTATATTCTGAAACTTCAAACAGATTCTCTCTTTTGGTCCCGCTTGTCAAAATTTACTGTTTCCATGTTCTCAACCGACGTTCTGACGAAACTTATTTATATTTACTCTGGACGGAACTTAAATATAGTTTCTTTTTCTTGCCACTTTCCCAGTATTGTTACCGTACAAGTAGGTACCCCGGCATAGTCTACATCATGTATTTCTTCAAATTGATCGTCAATTACTTCTAGATTAATATCAAAATCATCATCCAGGAAACTTAAGTTCTCACTTATCTCACATTCAATACCTGAATTCGTTTCAATGCTTTTTCTCAATATATCTTCAACATAATCGTGTAGCTGCTTCTCTTCATCGTTTAATATAGGTATGCTTTCTACAACCGCACTTATGTGGAATGTTTTCAGTATTTTTTGAATGACGTTGTGAATTTCAATTGCCATTCTAACACAATTTTGACATTCAAAAACGTAGATGTAAAGCAAAGTTCTATTACTAATTTACTGAAGTATGCTGATGGAATATGCTTATATATACCGTAAGTGAACAAAACATGTTTTGAAGTTGGCACCACACAAACCGATATGAAATCAAGGTGCCCCAGGTTCCTCCACTGTTAGTCTTGGCTTATCACATACGTCAACGATTACGATTTCTATCAAGGAAAAAAAGAGTTGCAGTTCCAATCTTACTATTTAAACCACATGAACCGCATTCTTTGGTTGTGGTTTCTATTAAGGAAAAAAATAGTTGTAGTTCCAATCTTGCTATTTGAACCACATGAACCGCATTGGTTGATTGTAGTTTCTATCAAGGAAAAAAACAGTTACATTTCCAATCTCTCTATTTGAACCACATGAACCGCATTCATTGTTTTGCCACGCACATACTCGAGTGTGTTTAAGGTGGAAAATAAGAGTAACATTATCTCATGTCAGTATTTTTATGTTCGCTAAAACCGCCTCGACAAATATACCTATTAGTATGGTAAAATCAGTTTGTCTTATGAATTTTTTCATAATAACATAATAATCGAATTTCCTCAGGCATAGTAGTAATAGTTGTTGAACATAATGATTTAAAAATGAAATTTCGTGTAGCTATTTCGAACTTCAAAAATTTGCATGATTTCGTAGTTGCATTTGCTATTTCCTACCTATATATAAATATACGTAATTAATTAAACGTTATCTTCTATAAAAAATGTGCATATGTCCTTTTATTTGAAGATACTATAAATATTTCGAAATCGGGATTATGAATGACAGGGAGCTGGGTTCCGGATTTCAGAAAATTGGAATTCAGGAGTTCGGTGTTACAGCGTAGCAGGGTAACCAGCTGGAGGGTTGATGAAACTGGGATGTAGGAGTTACGGGTTACAGCGTGGCAGGGTAATTAGCTCGGGGGTTGATGAAATTGGGGTGCAGGAGTTACGGGTTACAGCGTGGCAGGGTAACCAGCTCGTGCGTTGATTTTTATATTCAAAAAATGTAATCTCAATATCAGATGAAATGAACGAATTAATATAACATAAATATAACATAAAAATAAAATAAATGTAACGTTATCTTCTACAATCATTTCACCTATGTCCTTTTCTCCAGAGATATTACAAATATGTCGAAATTGGGATTATGAATAACAGAGAACCGGGTTTCGGACTAGAAAATTGGAAAGGGCTGGGTAACTAGCTCGAGGGTTGATGAAATTCGGGTGTAGGAGTTCGGGGTTAGAGCGTAGCAGGGTAACCGGCTCGAGGATTGATGAAATTCAGATGTAGGAGTTTGGGGTTAGAGCATGGCAGGGTAACCAGCTCGAGTATTGATGAAATGGGGTGTAGGAGTTACGGGTTATAGCGTGGCAGGGTAACTAGCTCGAGGTTTAAGGAAATTGGGTTCGGGGTGGTAGGGGATCAAGGTAACAAATGAATGCTTTGTTCACTCTCCAATGAAGGGGTAGCAGCCCCTGGTGACGAATACTGTATACTTTTGTGTTAGATTTTTAATTTCTCGGAGTTTCATAAACTTCATTTCTTCTGAAAAAATTTTGCAAGAAAATCTTTGAAAATATAGCTTTTCTTTCAGGCGACTTCGGGGGTTTCGAACCCCTGTAGACGAAATCCATATATTTAGCTGAAATTTTTTATAACAATTTTTTTGTGTTTGTTTCGTCAAAAACTGTGCATATAATACGAAAATTTCGCTGTAAAATGATGTTGAGGGCTAACTTTCGGGGGTAGCTTTCACCCTCTAAATAGTTTATTCGGCAGAACAAAAGTATACATATGTTTAGCTTTTTTGAGCGTCACAGAACATGAAATAACTAGCATAATCTGCGATTAACAACTGCTTATATTGTATTAATAACATTAAGGGGTAGTTCACCTTCGAAATAATAGATAATAGGAAAATTCCGAAACACGTCAATTTTCTTTTATCATTTTCTACTAGAATATCATTTTTAAAATTTTTTTAACATAATTTTTTGATTTTGTAAGGTAAAAATACACTTAAAAATATGGTTTTTCCTCTATACAACGTAGGGGTTGCAACCTCCGGGGACCAAATTGATGTGTGTCTGTTACTTTTGTTATAAGTATCTTGTGTTTTTTTGTTTCATAAAAAAATATTCATTACAACTAAAGACATTGCTATAGAACTGCTTTTGGGGCTGTGTTTTGGGGGTGGGTTTCATCCCTTGGATAGCTTTTTCCGCCGATAAAAAAAAATACGGGTCTTTTATTTTTTTTACGCACTATAACATATCTCAATTGCAGAAAAATCGGAGGCGGAGGGTTGGGGTGGTTCCCTAGGATGACTTTTCCGGTAGACCGCAGTATGAACACGTCTACTCACCTAAGGGTTCAAACGCTGACGACCTAACTGACATGAAATACAATTTTTTTAGGGTACCAAATCAGTGCGCAAAAATTATCGTATAAAAAGTATTTTACTCTAAAAATACGAAATATTGCTTATACGAATATGTAGAAAAATTATGAAGGACCGCGTTCCCATAAGGCTACCTCTGACACCCTTCATATATAACTTTTTTAATAAATTTCCAAGTTTTTGTTTCATAACAAATTAGAGCACAAAATTTATCGAGTAAAAAGTGTTCTCTCTTAAAAAGCAGGCATATCGGAAGTAAAAAAAAATTATCGAGGACCGCGTCCCCATAGGGTAACCCCTGCCGCCCTTCGAATATGACTATTTTACTAAATTTCCTGGTTTTATTGCGATAACAAGTCAGTGCGCAAAATTATCCAACAAAAAGTATTTTACAGCAAGAATATTGTTTATACGAACATGTAAAAAAATTATTGAGGACCGCATTCCCATAGGGCCACCACTGCCGCCCTTCAAATATGATATTTTCAATAAATTTCCAAGTTTTTGCTTCATAACAAGTTAGTGCGCAAAATTTTAATTAACTCCAATCATAATGAAGCAATTTGAAGAATACCGTCAATAAAAATAGATTCAGTAATATTTTATTGAATCATGTTCAATAAATTTTTAAATGTTTAAAAAAAATCCTTAATGGTACTCAGTCGTATAGTTTCTTATCGATTTGATTATATCATATATGATTTCCATACGTAATCGTATTTGATGCAATCAGATTCTATGATTTCTAATGATTATTTTAAGAATACTAGAACTTATTAGCGCGCTACGCGCGCCTTAGATTAATCATCACATTTAAATATACGCATGGTAATTACACGTTAGATAAAATCTTTTATGTATAAAGTTCCTTGTAGATATAATTTTTAACTGTAAACCTATCACGTTGCTGATTCCCTAGGTAAATTTTGAGTGTTTCCCATGAACGTATTCTAGACATTGCTACATACAATTGTCCATGATTGAAAACATGGACAATTCGAAGATCTTCTTCGAAGATCAATAGCAGTCTTATCAAATGTTTGACCTTGAGCTTTATTAATTGTCATAGCAAATGCTAATTTTATTGGAAATTGACGCCTTCTGAATGTAAATGGGTATTCATTTTCGCAAGTTAATGAAATACGATTTAAAAATACAATACTATTTGATTTGTCTCCTGTTAAAACTTGACATTTCAATAGATGATTCGAAAAATCTAATACTCGTAGACGTGTACCATTGCATAAGCCTTCGTGTATACTTATATTTCTAATCAGCAAACAATACAATTTTTTCTCAATCGTAGCTCATATGAAGGTAAACTGGAAGGATGTAACGTATTCAAATATTCCGGTAAGATTATTTCTTGGAAATCACCATTATCACAATTATCGGTACTGTCAATTGCAGTATATATACGTTCTGTTGCTCTATCTAGTAAATCGGTAACTAATTTATTTAATTCATCAATATCCACATTTCGGGCTGATAATATAGCACATTTACTCATAACATCAAATTTCTTTTCTGTAATTAACCTTTGAAACACTCTGCGGACATCATCATTTTGATTTAAGTTACAATGCTCGGGTAAATTTAAATTGTCACATTGATTGTTCAGAGTTCCATCACCAACTAATAATAAAAATTTTACGAAATCAACTTCATTAGGTAATACTCTCATATTAATGGTAAGATTGTATTTAGTGAAATGTTTCCATAATTCACTGTATTCAATAGAAAGGTTCTAGGTTTCAGTACGACTTTCATTGATTTTAATTGGTAAAAGTTGCCTAAAATCGCCCCCTAAAACCATAACTTTACCACCAAATGGTAAATTATTGTTCATAAATTGTTGTAACGTTCTATTCACTATTTCTAATGCATATCTTGGAGCCATAGGCGCTTCGTCCCAAATAAAAACTTTTGTTTCTTTTAGTAGAAGGCCATCCTTAGATTGCGCTGTTATACTTGACGAGTCACTGTACATAGGAACAGGAAGACCAAATGTTTTATGTACTGTTTTTCCTTGTGGAAGTAATATTGCTGCAATTCCAGTGAAGGCCATTGAAGATACTTTGACTTTTTTTGAGCACAGTAAATTATAAATAGTTGTGTAAACGAAAGTTTTTCCTGATCCTGCTGGACCATCGATGTACGAGGTGTGTTCAAAAAGTAAGTTGACTTTTCAAATTTCACGGGCAACGTACTTTCGATTATCGATTTGTTTGTTTTGTTATGTTGGTACACTCTTCCCGAACATCTGTACCAAGTTTCAAGTGTATAGCATTTTTTGTTTGGTTGTGAGAGGCGTAAAGGTTATAAGTGTTTTGCGTGCTCGGCGATTTCTTGCTATCAAAAAATATGGATCAAAGGATTTGCATCAAATTTTGTGTAAAAAATAAAATAAAGTACTCCGAAACACTTGAAATGTTGACGGTGGCATACGCTGAAACTGTTCTGAGTAAAAAAAATGTTTACAAGTGGTACAAACTTTTCCAAGATGGCCGGGAAGATGCCAATGACGAGCCTCGCTCTGGACGCCCAAGCACGTCAACAACTGATGAAAACGTTCAAGCAGTGAAGAAAATTGTTCTGGAAAATCGTCGAATCACTACACATGAAATTTTTTCTAACGTTTTGGGCATGAGACTTGTGTCAGCGAAGTTTGTTCCGAAATTGCTAAATTTTGACCAAAAGAACCGGCGCATGAGCATCGCTCAAGAATTGTTGAATGACGTCAATGACGACCCAGATTTACTCAAAAGGGTCATAACTGGTGACGAATCATGGGTATATGGTTATGATATCGAAACCAAAGTCCAATCGTCCCAATGGAAGAGCCCAGATGAGCCAAGACCGAAAAAAGCACGCCAAGTTCGATCAAATGTCAAAGTTTTGCTCACTGTTTTCTTCGATTACCATGGCGTGGTGCATCAGGAGTTCTTACCATATGGACGTACGGTCAATAAACAGTATTATCTTGAAGTTATGCGCCGTTTGCGAAAAGCAATACGAAGAAAACGCCCAGAATTGTGGAAAAACAATTCATGGCTTTTGCATCACGATAATGCCCCTGCTCACTCATCTTTGCATGTGAGAGATTTTTTGGCCAAAAACAACACCACAATCATGCCTCAGCCATCATATTCACCGGATTTGGCCCCATGTGACTTTTTTTTGTTCCCAAAACTAAAGAGACCTATGAAAGCACGGAGATTTGCAACGATTGAAGAGATAAAGACTGCATCGCTGGAAGAGCTCAAGGCTATACCGAATAGTGCTTATGAGAAGTGCTTTGAGGATTGGAAAAACCGTTGGCATAAGTGTATTGTATCTGAGGGGGATTACTTTGAAGGGGACAACATAAATATTGATAAATAAGTAAATATTTTTTCTTAAAAATATAAAGTCACCTTACTTTTTGAACACACCTCGTATATACAATTATTATCATGATTATTAGTCTCATTTGCTAAGTTCAAAACAACGTCGACAATTTCTTTTTGTTGTTCATTCAATAGCTGATATTGACGTTCTCCAATTTTTCTATAATTTGATTGTAATGATTCATTATTGTTTTCTAATAATAAATGACTAACTACTGTTTGATCCATAGTAGGGTAGTCAGCCAAACTCTTACCTTCATAATTCAATAAATTATTAATTTCAGCATATGCCATTTGATGACTTCTAATAACGTCGTGCATTCGCGAAAAATCTTCCGACAATGCATCGTTGAACTTATCCCATAATTCTTCAGGGTGTATAGGTTGACAATGTATTAAAATTCGAACAAACAATTGTCGAAGTCTACGTGGCATCATCCATATTGTTGCTTCCTCCATCGCTTTAGCCCATTCTTCATCGTCTTCTATTAATCCTAATTCTAGGCAAGCTGCTGTAAAGGAAGGTTGAATTATACCATTTACTGTTTTTAAGGAATCAAAGCTTGTAGGTCCTCTTACATGCAATAATAATAATCGTAAGTGAAATAGCTCTGGTTGTGTAGGACTCACAGAAAACATTCGTCCGATGCAATCAAAATGTTTTTTGCGTATTGCCCACTTCGTTACCATAGTACCATTAATTTTTTCTTTTTTATAAGTAAAAAATGACGGAATGTCACTATATAAATACTGACGTGCAGTGCTATTTTCAATATTTAATTTGAAATAATCAAGTAACTTACTACTCGCATGATGCAGATTGTCTACAATGTTTTCTGCGTTACTTGAAATTACTACGTATTGCTGATGTGATAAATGAATTGGTAGTCGTTCAATAGCATGACTTTTATTTTGCAATGGTTTGCTAAAAATTCGATAACATTTTTCAACAGGTCCGACATATCGAGTTTCTATGAAACTGCTAACTTCATCGTGGTTAATAATATTTGTAGATACATTTTCATTCCCAATAGTTACTGTTGCTGCATCGTGTCCTTTATAAATATATTTAGTTTTATCCATAATAGTTTCATTTTGGAATTCTTTCGGAAATTTTTTTGAGCATTTGTTATTTACCATACACCAGTCACCGCAAGGCCCGTGTATCATATTTTTCACAACTATGTCATATAAAATAGGATCAGTATCTTTATTTGGAAGCTCAGCTGATATAAATTTATTAACCATTGCAGGTGTAGATATTTTATAACCGCTTTTTAAAGTTATCAATAAATGCATGTGTGGTAAACCACGTTTCTGAAATTCTATAACATAACCATAAGATGCTACCTCTACAAAAAAATTTTTTTTTATAACTACGTAAAGTAATAAATAAATATATAAATTGTTCAAATAAACATAAATTGTGTAAAGATTTATGTCTATTTATTTGATTTTTGATATTAGATTTTTCTTTGTTGTTTCAGTATTTTGTAAAATTGTTTATTTTTGTGATATAATTTATAATAATTTTAATAATTTCGTAATGGTTCGTTTTTCAGTGTAATTAGTTTTTCAATTCGGTTTTTTTTTGTTGTTTCAGTGTTTCGTAAAATTGTATAATTTCGTAATGGTTGGGTTTGCAGTGTAATTAGTTTTCCAATTTCGTTTTTTTCTTTGTTGTTTCAGTGTTTCGTAAAATTGTATAATTTCGTAATGGTTGGTTTTTCTGTATAATTAGTTTTTCAATTTCGTTTTTCTTTCCTTGTATTGGTTCAATTACACAGGTTTACAAAATAAAAAAAGTTGATGCCTATTTGACCAGACCATATAACTTTTATGTATTTCGATGCGCTGAACATGAATCCGAGGTCCGTTGATCTCCATCACGTCAGGTTCAAGGTCTTTCAAAGCTCAAATGTATTGAATACAACGGAATTCAAAATTTGACTACGGATTCGGAAAGAGCGGGACATTTTACGTTCAAATACATATTGTTGGTTTTTTCCAACATGACCTTTGAAGGACATCTAGAGCTCAAACAAATAATAAATAGACCTTATTTGCTTTTTATCCATATGAACTTGTTTTTGAGACATCCGATGGGCTTCTATTGTATACTGCCATGTATCTTTGTATTCTAAATACAAACCTGGAATCCATTTGACCTCATCCAGTTAGGATCAAGGTCATTTCAAGGTTAATTCGTTAATTTTGCACAAAAAAACAAATATAACCATAGTCTTTGAACCCTGGTTGCCTTAACCCTCGAGCCCTGCAACTCTCTATGACCTTCGACCTCCGCATCCTAATTTCCTAAAACCCCGAGAACTTGACCTTAAAACGCCTTGAACCAATCCCTCATACCCCCAATTCCATAACCACCGAGCACTTAATCCTAAGACCCGATTCCCCATACTCCAATGTTCTTAACTCCCCAGCACTTAACTCTGAGACATCTTACACCCAATTCCTAATACTACATGTTCCTTAATAACCGAGTCCTATAAACTATAAGCGTGCACCAGCGGCTCCGTCCGACGGTCCTTTTCAGGATAGTTGGATATCCGGTGCAGCAGTTGGTCAAAAAAAACAAATATAACCCTAGTCTTTTAACCCTGGTTGCTTTAAGGGGGTATCCCTATATAGATGGGCAAAAATGAACTAAAACTTTGCGATTTTTTTTTTCTTAAACTATACAAGATTTTTAGTTGAAAATTTTATAGTTTATTGCTTAAACATTGAAGATGCATTAAATATTTTTTTTACATTATTTTGTTTATAAAAGTTGTAAAAAAAAATGTTGAACTATACAACTTTTTTTTTTCCCCAATTTTGTGTGCACACTTGTCGTCGTCGTATCTCTCTGAAACATAAAAGAAGAATTTTTTTGTTATTATAAGGTCTAAATCTCGTCGACTAACCTAAATTTAAAGTATAAAAAAATTCCATAGCAAAATGGTGCACTTTTGAAAAAAAATTGTAACATTTTTTTTTATTATTATTGCAAAATAGTGGTTAAATAAATTTTTATTTCAAAAACAAGTAGGTTCATCGACTAGATTTTTAAATTATCTTCAAAATGCTATTTTTTTTTAATAAGTTAAAAACTTGCCGAGAAATTATGCCCCCAAACACGGACAGTCAAGAAATTTCCTTTTCAAGTAAAACGCGTTTAAAGTTCGCGGTAGCCGAAAATCGCATTTTTGATTGACTCACCATTACTTTTTAATTTTTTTCTTAATCAGCAATGCCTGGGCCATAAAGGAGGTCATCTTCTTCATCTTTTTCAGGAGCAGCTCTTGCTTTTTTAGCCAATCTACCTTCCTTTGTGGCACTCGAACTCTTCAGCTCTTGACGCTTTATTCGGTTTTCATCCATCTTTTGGGCGTAGTTGTAAGTAGGCGCTCCAATAGTGAACTCGAGGATGTTCATTGTTTGCAGGATTGATTTATAACCGTCATTAAATAATCCAGCAGCAATCCAAGCTGCAATTTCAACGGTTTTTGAACCACAGTGCAGATGCTTAGGAGCCAAGCGCCATACAAGAGCATTAAAACTTTCATTCGCATTTTGGGTATGTCCGCCCACCCAAGCACCTTTGCAGTAGATCTTCTCTCGATAAATCTTCATAAATGGGCAATAAATGCTTTTGTAAATCTTCATGGAGAGCCGGTGGATGCTCAAAAACGCCGGCTGCGACTACCTGCGATTGTTGCCACTCACACCAGCTATCGATTCCCGGAGGGCAGTACTGATGCTGTGGTTTTTCGTCAGTCGAGCACATATGGTAGTATGTAGCTAATATTGCTTCTTTCATATGTTGTATTGAGTTGACGTTTCTTCTGATGGCGAGTCCGTAATAAGTACTTAACTTTTTTATAAGAGCATCAGTAAGTTTGCCTCTACCTCCCAATTTCTCTTTTTTTTTCAAATTCCGAAGACGCGTTCCCATTCGCTTCTGAACGTGGCCAATGCACTCACACTTCACCACCGGAAATTCATCTCCGTAAGGATTCTTTTTCAAAATTGCAGTAAAAGTTTTCGAGTCGCCATCGCCGATGTAGACGGTGTATCGTATGCCGTATTCATCAACCGAATGCTCAAACATTTCTAAAACGGCGTCGACCTCCATCTTTCCTGCAGAGCCTTCATGATTTGCAGCACATTCGTCAGCATGATTTTCGTACCAGTTGACATATTCTTGAGTGTTTTCCTTGTAAGGGCATCCTAGACATGATTTGCATTACGTACTTTTCACAACTAAGTCGACAATTTTTCCACATTCATATAATATCAGCGTAGTCACGCCGATTTTTGAAGAGAAGCCTCGTTTCTTCCATGATCCATCGCCAGATACTTTCATTTCAAGTAATGGCTTTTCTGATTGCTCGTTCAGTTTCTTCTCTTCTTCGACAGTTTTTTGACTTGTTATTTTGAAATAAAGTTTTGTCGCTTGATGAATGTGCTCCAATATACTGTCATATGCTGTATTACTGAGTCCTTCACCAAAATCCATCAAATTAGAAAACATATTTATTCCTTGCAAACCAATACCTAAAAGTCTCATCACAAACACTATACGCCGTTTTACTTCGAAGCCATTGTTTATGTGGGGGCCAGAAGGTATAGTACTCGTGCCACATTTACAAGAAACGGAAAGTTTCCATCCGAAACCACGGAAGCCAGTCTCTTCAAACTTCACTGCTCCTTTACAAGTTTTACAGCACGGCATCTCGGAAAGTACCGAGAAAATAGTCACAAATTCAATTATTCGATATCGGTGAGATAGATTGACTGGCACGTCATCAGCAGTTGCTGCTGCTAATTTTCGTGCACTAGCACTGGCCCCTTTCACTTCGCCGTCTTCACTCATGTGCTGATTACCATGGTAAGATCTCTTTCTACGGCTTGCACGATAGTTGCTTTCATGTTCGCCTTTCGGATACGATGTCATGATGAATGTTGAGAGAGAGAGCGATGCAAACTGCACAACAGTTACAGTAAAACTGAACCAACTGTAGCGAACCGATGCTCCAAAACGAGTTTATAGCTGTACTGTACACTGTCTATCCTACTATACTATTGGCTCGTAAAGTCTTGTTAGGGTACACACAAACACACTCACAAATCACAGAACATCTGCTCTTTTCATTATCGAAGTATCCCAGCTCAGCGGGGAGCTATTGTGTCCTGCCTACCTGCGCCGCGCGCACCACCCGCTAAAGAACGTTAGCGAATATGCCTATAGCGGCTAAACGGATTCAAATTTTGCGCTAAAATTTTAACAGCATACTTTTGAAATGTTCTACTTTCGATTTATGTAATAAAAAAAAAATCGATTTTTTGATCGATCTATATAGGGATACCCCCTTAACCCTCGAGCCCTGCATCTCTGCCTGACTATAACCCTGGACTCTCAACCTCCGATCTCCATATCTTAATTTTCTCAGCCCCGAGCCCGGTAACCTGCAACTCTACAACCCCGACCTTCACATCCTAATTTCATGAACCCCTGATGTGATGAACTTCGATCTATATCGCGAAAGGCTTTTGAGCGTACAGAGGCGAGGGGCCTTGAGGACATCTAGCGCATACTGAACGGTCTCGAGGGAAGCTATTCTGGTTGTCGATGGTGTAATCCCCGTAGATCTTCTTGCTAGGGAGCGCAAGAGGATCTATGACAGAAGGTTAAACGAAAATAAAGTAGAAGTAGCCAAGGAGGAGAGTGATAGAACAATAGAGGTATGGCGAGAACGGTGCTCGAGAGATGGTAAAGGCGTATGGACGAGAAGCTCAATTCCTGACATTAGGGCGTGGATGGAGAGGAGCTTCGGAGAAGTGAACTTCTACCTTACGCAGATGCTTACGTGCTATGGGTATTTCAAATGCTACCGGGATTCTCCGAATAGTAAAGTGGAGAACAGGGTTCTAGATAGGAGGATTCGCTTGCTTTTTACCACCGCATAAAAAATCCCAAACATGGCATAGCAAATTCTACACGCCCCGACCTTGATATTCTCGAAATCGAATTGAAATCCAATCGAAATTTAAGATCTTCTAACTTTCTAAAGTCAGTTAAAGGTATGAAAATCAGGAAATCTCTGAAATTTATATTAAGTATTTCAATGTCATGGTGAAACAATCATTTTTTATTATAATCTCATGGAGGGTACTTCTTAACATCGAGGTTTATGTCTCTTACTCTGTTAAGCCACCACTCTTCAATGTAAACGTGCTTTCTTGTTAGGTCTACATCTTTCATCGAATGTTCTTTTCAGTGCTTTTCTCTTGTGCTTAACTGAAGTATCCCTCTTAAGGTTCCAACAGTAATCTGACATCATATTGACATCCCAAAATCCTTGATAGCGCCTTTCCATCTCTTTAATGTCTTAATGAAATCTTTCACCTTGCTCTTCACTATAATCTCCTAGATTTTCTGGAAATTTGTCCAAATGAGAATCTAAAAAGTGGAGCTTCGGACTCATGAGACATTGAACAGCTTTGTAGTTTACGACCAAGTCGTTGACTATTTCTTTATAATTTTGATCTCTGTTGTTACCTAAAAATTTCGTACAAACGTCAATAAAGCTCTGCCAAGCTTTTCGTTCATCTTCTGACATTCTATTCGGGAATTCGAGATCTTTTATGAGTTCTCTTATTTGAGGTCCATCAAAAATTCCCTCTTTGAGTTTTGCTTCGGATAACTTTGGGAATTTCAAGAAGAGATATTGAAAAGCTTTACTATCTCTTTTCTTTAAAGCTTTTACCAGCTGTTTAATCAAGCCTAATTTTATATGAAGAGGAGGCAGTATTATTTTATCAGGATCAACCAATTTATTGTATTTGAGATTTTTGTTCCCTACACAAAACTATCCCTTGCTGGCTACTCCTTCACATCATAATGCTTTTCACGAGCTCTGCTATCCCATTCACATAGAAAACATGGGTATGTCGTAAAACCAGATTGTTGTCCCAAAATGATTGTGACAACTTTTAAATCCGTGCAGATTTTCCATTTATACAACTCGTAATTAATTTTATCAAGTAAATATTCCATATTCACGTAATTTTCATCCATTGTCGTAGAGTGAGCCAATGGAACAGAAGCTAGTTTATTCCCATTGTTTAGTAATACAGCTTTAAGGCTTCTCTTAGAAGAATCAATAAATAACCGCCATTCTTTAGAATCATGTTCAACTCCAAATGTTCTAAACAACTCGTCTATTTCACTACAATATACCAAAGAACCACCTTGAACAAAATATTTTCGAAAAGGCTCATCTCTGTAGTATGTTACTTTTGTTTTTTTGTGTAAACAACCTTTTTCTTTCAGCCGTGATGCCAATAGTTCCGATTGCGCTTTAGATAGCGCTAAATCTCTTACCAAATCGTTGAGTTCACTCTGATTGAACTTTGAAGGGGTTATCTCGTTACCCGTTGTACAAACATCACAATCAGTTTCTTCGTCATCTTCTTCGTAACATTCTCGGTCATTCATTTCATTATGTTCTGCGTCATCTTCTTCTTTATCTTCTTTGTCATTTTCTTGGTCCGTGTTCCCCAAAGATTCTGTAATGTTTTCATCACTTATATTGATTTCCATTGCTTCATCTTCATCATGACTGGTATCGCTTTCTAAGACTGGCATTGTGACAGACAAAGTAGTTGTGTAAGGCACAGATCGAATGTTTCTTGAATTAAATCCAAATTTGGTGTTTATACAAAAATAGCAATCATTATCACCGGATATCCAACTATCCTGGAAAGGACCGTTGGACGGAACCATTGCTGCACCGGATATCCAACTATCCTGAAAAGGACCGTTGGACGGAACCATTGCTGCACCGGATATCCAACTATCCTGAAAAGGACCGTTGGACGGAACCACTGCTGCACCGGATATCCAACTATCCTGAAAAGGACCGTTGAACGGAACCACTGCTGCACCGGATATCCAACTATCCTGAAAAGGACCGTTGGACGGAACCACTGCTGCACCGGATATCCAACTATCCTGAAAAGGACCGTCGGACGGAGCCGCTGTTGCACCGGATATCCAACTATCCTGAAAAGGACCGTCGGACGGAGCCGCTGGTGCACGCTTATAGTTTATAGGACTCGGTTATTAAGGAACATGTAGTATTAGGAATTGGGTGTAAGATGTCTCAGAGTTAAGTGCTGGGGAGTTAAGAACATTGGAGTATGGGGAATCGGGTCTTAGGATTAAGTGCTCGGTGGTTATGGAATCGGGGGTATGAGGGATTGGTTCAAGGCGTTTTAAGGTCAAGTTCTCGGGGTTTTAGGAAATTGGGATGCGGAGGTCGAAGGTCATAGAGAGTTGCAGGGCTCGAGAGTTAAGGCAACCAGGGTTCAAAGACTATGGTTATATTTGTTTTTTTGTGCAAAATTAACGAATTAACCTTGAAATGACCTTGATCCTAACTGGATGAGGTCAAATGGATTTCAGGTTTGTATTTAGAATACAAAGATACATGACAGTATACAATAGAAGCCCATCGGATGTCTCAAAAACAAGTTCATATGGATAAAAAGCAAATAAAGTCTATTTATTATTTGTTTGAGCTCTAGATGTCCTTCAAAGGTCATGTTGGAAAAAACCAACAATATGTATTTGAACGTAAAATGTCCCGCTCTTTCCGAATCCGTAGTCAAATTTTAAATTCCGTTGTATTAAATACATTTGACCTTCAAAAGACCTTGAACCTGACGTGATGGAGATCAACGGACCTCGGATTCGTGTTCAGCGCATCGAAATACATAAAAGTTATATGGTCTGGTCAAATAGGTATCAACTTTTTTTATTTTGTAAACCTGTGTTATCATTAAGGACGTTCACTAGCTTGTAGATGTGCTCAACCGATTCTCCACGGGTAACAAGTATATTTCGCGGGATTTGGATGAAATGAGTTGAGCATCATTTTACTTATTTTAATGCGCAGAAGTAAAAAAATACGTCGCTTGCGTCGATTTACTCAAAGTGGCAACACCGCGGATCGCCTATTCAGTTCGGCCGTAGAAAGCGTGTCGGAATAGAGGTTATATGTGTATGATTGTTTGACTGCACACGTGAGAAATGTGAATAAACAAAATGCCCATTCATCGTAATAAAAATGGCACTTTTGCAAAAAAAAAAGCATTAGATCGCCTGAAGAAAGCCGTGCAAGCCAGATTAAATGCAAGGAAACAGTTGATTCAAGAATCACCTCGACAATCACTGACAGAACAGAAAGCCAATAAAGTTTGCGAAGGTTTACGCATAGTTAATTTACACGAACTGGGAAATAATCTAAAGTGTCACAAGTGCGAAAATGTTTTGAATATGACCGATACAGCGAAAGAACATTTGATTGGATGTCATTCAGTACTAACTGTTTGTTGTAGTGTTTGTAAAAGATACACTAAAGTCAATACAGGCAAAATGTTAGACAAACAGGTTTCTGAAATAAATGCTGCATTAGTCCTTGGTAAGTGCTATTTTTTAAATTTCTCTTTCAAAATAATTTGCTACTGTGCTAAAAGAGTACTCACATCACATTATCACTTAGTCTATATTCAGTAAAAATGTATAATGTACATTATTATTATTACCGGTGCTGTTTATTCTGGTGCTGGAAAGACAGCTTTAGATAAAATTCTTGTTTGTGCAAATGTTCCACCAATTTCAAATACACTATACAAAAAGTATGAAAGGTTGATTGGGGATCTGATAGAGAAAGAAGCGAAAGCAAGCTGTAAGCGAGCAGCAATGGAAGAAAGGGAGTTAGTTATAGAGAATAATGAAAAGTTATCCAAAGAATTGTAAGCTTTCTTGCTGTCATACACATTTGAGTAGTCAATTGTATTGTACGAGTAATTATTACAATGATTGAGATTTCACAGTATTGTACAACTTCTACAGTATTGGTCAACGAACAACTTCATTCTAATTTATCTATTTGTTATCTATATTTTTTTTACATTGTTGAGTCTTGATGACTATTTCTGGATCAATTTTTTTACACATTTATATTATTAGGTTGATTATACATAATGTTATTAATTTTTTTTTTCATTTCAAAATTCTTTTGTGTTTGAATGTATACATTTTTCTTGCTAGTGATGTATATATTTTTTACTCTTTTTCTGGATCAAGTCGTAGTAAAGATGATTTTTTTTTAAGGACTTTGCGTGTTTAGCCAACGTCATTCTTGTAATATGTGACACTTGATAAATTATGATAAATTATCTTATGAAAATGATTATTTCAATGTAAAAGAATGTTTGACATAAGTGGTATTTTTAATTTTTTTCAAATCGCTGTAAATTTGAATGAATAAAATTATACAAACTTCACGCATATATATTTATACGAATTTATTCAATTCTTGGCTTTTTTTATGTAATTTATTACTTTTTCGGGCCCAAAAATATAGTTAATGATATTTATCCACACCTCGCTACCCTTCAATCCAGTTATTCCAATGAAAAAACTAATGCAATTTTTGACGCAGCTCTAGAAGAAATAATAAATATAATAGTGTCTTTTGACATGGCTTGGAGTAAGCGCGGGAATGGTTGAAGCTATGATAGCCTGAACGGTTATAGTACTGTAATTGGATTTTTGAGCGGAAAAATTTTGGATTATACTACTAGGAATCGTAAATGTAAAAAATGTGATATGGGACACGATAAAAGCGATCACGACTGTCGCAAAAATTTCCAAGGAAGCGCGAAGGCTATGGAAGCAAATGCTGGCGTACAATTAATAAATCATAGCGAAATTTTGATTGAAAGTAAATTGCAAGTACGATTCATAGTTGGCGATGAGGATAGCTCAATGATTGCAGCTGTACGCAGAGATAATCCTGTGATCACTTTTCATAAACTAGCTGACAAAAACCATTTATTGAAAAATTTCAGCAGTGAACTCTATAATATGCGTTCATTGCATAAAGAAATGAATAAAAAAGGAGTCATAGCGCATATTAAAAAATGCTTTGCATACGCTGTAGCCCAAAATAAAGGCGATTGTGAAAGATTACGTAAGGAACTGAAAAGATTACCAGACCATTTCTATGGACGCCACGAAAACTGTGGATTCTGGTGTAAATATAAAGATAAACACACACTAACACTAACAAACAATGAATTGTATGAGAAACTAGTACAATTGCTCAATAAATATGCAGCAAATGCTGCTAAATTTTCTGTTGCCGCTTCAAGTCAAACAAACAAAAGCTTTAACAATGTCGTTGCCCATAAGGCTCATAAAAATCAATGCTTGAGTACGACTGCAACTTGTGATGTTCGAGTCGGAGATAGTGTATGCACATGGAATGATGGCGAAAAAGCCATTCTGAATTTTCGCACTAGATTGGGTTTTGAAGAACAGTGTTTCAGTGCCCTGTATGCTGAAGGCGCGGATCGTAAACGATTGAAAAGAAAGCTTGCGAATTCGTCTCATGCTAAAAAGTTACGTAAAATTCAATTGAAACAAAATAGAGAAGCATTGAGGCAAAATCAAGAAAAGACAGAAGGTATCACATACCAAAGCAACTGTGGTTTCAATTCGCAAATCGAGATGCCTGTTGAACGAGAATGCGTGGTTGATAGAAAAGTGAAACTTGTATTCTTCGACTTGAAAACAACTGGGCTTGATAAAGATGCAGACATAGTTCAAATTGCGGCAAAATGTGGAAAGTTTGAATTCGATTCTTACGTTGGCCCTACAAAAGATATTTCATGACATGCTACGAAAGCGACTGGCTTGTGTAACACGGGCGGGATGCTCTGTCTCCGTGGAGATCCAGTTGAAAAATTGACACTTCAAGAAACTCTAGTCGCCTTTAAACAATTTTTGGAATCATTATCAGCATCTAAAAAATGTTTACTAGTAGTTCACAATGCCACATTTGATACGCAAATTTTCATTCGACAAGTAATGACTCAGAACATGCTTCGAGAGTTCGATAGAATTGCTGGATTTTCTGACACATTAACAGTGTTCGAAAAGAAACTGAAAGATAGAAAAGGTTATAAGCAGTTTAACTTAGAATGTTTGGCAATAAAATTTTTAGATACTAAAGATTTGCAGGATTTTCACAATGCACTTGGTGATGTCAGGGTTTTAAACAAACTTGTTGATATTTTAAAATGTAGACAACTTCTTATTGATACGAAAAAATCTTATATAAATTGCTGTCAAGGAATACTTGAGCAAAATCAGATTAACGTGAAATTAACATATTTGACTGAGCTGAATAACGTTATATCTCAAACATTTTTGAAAAAATTAGCTAAGCACAGCATTACATATCAACAGATACAAGACGTTTACAAAAAAGAAGGAGCACAAGGAATTACTAGTATGTTCAGCGAAAAAATTGATGGTAAAATAAAAATAACCAAAGATACGAAGGTATTAGATAAAGTAGTTGAGTTTTTGAAGACTAAACAAAATAAATAAATATATATTTATCATATGATAATATTTAATGTTAGTCTATTATTAGATAGGTAAAAAATCAAAGTTTAAAAATTTTATTTTCAATGTTTGAATAATATAACGGGGGGGGGGGGAGCTGCAAAATGAGAAATTTATTTAAGAGCAAACTCCCACGATGCAGAGCAAACCGCCGCTCCGTTAACACGTATGTTAATACGTGTATTCACCTTAACGTCAGCTGCCTTAACTTAGATGTCTTCGATCAAGCAGAGTTGAACTCACCTTAAGTCACGTGCCTTGTGACACACGATAAGTTTTAAGTGTAATCGACTTTGCTCCTAATCCACTTAATCCCCTAGCTATGATCGGATTAAAACCTAAGCCTTTTTCAATTGTTTAAACTACTAGGAAAAATCATATGACGAAATCGGCGAATAAGTTTATTAGATTTTATTAATAAAAATCTCTACAGTCTTTGTCGGGCCGAAAGACTGACGCATGCGAATAGGATTTACAATTAAATAACTTTCGGTGAGGAAGAGAGAGAGAGAAGATACGAAAATTGGCGCGATCTAACGCTCGGCGCAAATACAAAAAATATCAACGCTAACACGGTTGAACAAAATACTAAATGTATTTTGTCACGCGATAATTAAGGGAGGTGCACCTACCCTGCGGTGCAATTACGGTGATCAGCCGTAACTGTTGATGTCAGCAAAATATCAACTGCCCCTGTCCTTTGAACAATTGGCTGCGCTGCCTCACTCTGCTTATCAGCTGCAAACTGCTTCCGAATCCTCGTACTTGCTATAATATCGCTATTACACTCACGCACGAAATTGTCCCAGGAAAACTATCACTCGGCGAGAAAAACTGTGTAAATAAAAATCGGCGATGCTCGTTCGAATACAGCTGAAGCGTAACTGCTAATTTAAAAGATCGCGCGCCCCCTCTCTCTCTCAATACTTAGAACTAACGCGCGAAAATCAGAATCGCGAACGGTTCGATTAATTGAATCGACTACCGTTGCAATAAATAACATAAATTTATTACGATCATAATTATTTATTAGTTTTTATTTTTCAACCTTCTTGAATTTGTGCATATAAAAAATTTATTTGAGTGAGTCAATTCAATTATTTCTCCAATACTTTTACGTGGAAAAAAAATTGTAGTGTGCTAGTTGGGGGACAATTCAAACATGCAGTTGATGCCAGCTGATGCGGTGTTGCCAAGTCGCCATACTTAGCTCCGTAAGCTGACTGAAAGATTGATCATATTATCAATTTCAAGTCCGTTTAGCATAAAAAATAGTGCGGATACCCCCCTTTTTTAACATCGCATTTGATTCCTTATTATCTCTACAAAAGTTTGTTAGTTTTTGTCGAAAATCTAGGTAGTATTGTATATACAGTTGAATAAAACCTTTTGAAAAACAGGGTTTGGCCTATACCTCACGTGTTAAATGTGTGAACTTTGAAGCTAAATTTATAGATTGTTAGGCCGGTTACCTACATTTTTTATTTTACCGTTGGATAGAGCTTCACAAACAGTACTTATTTTCAAAGTTTGAAAGAAATCTAGGTATAAGTGATTTTCTGGTGAACGTCCTTAATAGTTTAATTCTTATGGTAATTGGGAGCTAATATAATGCAATGAGTTTAATTCAAAATAATAAAAGATAAAATTCAAATAGTTAAATCTGAAAACATGGGAAAGGCAGGAACATCAAATAATAATTTGTCAAGAAACTGTTATCAGTTTGTTTTTATTAAAGCACAATAACCTTTTACCTACTTTTAACTATATTAATATATTTGTAAAATCGAAACTCGTGCAATAAATAAAAGAAAATTTCATAAATTATGTTAATTTTTAATGAAAAATAATTTGTAAAACCATAAAGTGATGCTCGTTGAACCACCTGCAAAAAAATTGATTATTTTATTAAATAATATTTATCGACACGACAATATTTATTGAAAACTTAAATATTATTGATAATTAAATATTTAAATACAATTGAAAATCTTCAAGTTTAGTATTAATAACTAAATAAAAGTGTGTAATATAACATAAAGCCGATATACATTAAATTATATGTACGTTCTATAAGATACGTTCAAGACTTGGTTATGAAAATTCCAAAATACGTTTATATTACAGCTTGAATGGAACATAGATTTAAAAGATAATTTTTAAAAAAGTGCCGTCACATTTGATGATGCAACAAAATGCCTTAACTCCTTTAAATATTCAAGTGGTGCAGTACGTTTATAAAATTTATGGTTTCAGCTCCTGGTTTAAGTATCTCGAGCCCTGAAAAAATTGTCAAAAAATTCTGTAGTCAACGTTGGTAATAATTGAAGAATAAAATGTTGTATAATAGATTTTTGTATAATAGTAATTTAGATCATATAATAGGTGTAACTATTAATTGTATTGACATTTTTGATGTTATGTTTATATATTCCAAAGAAACATTTTAATTACATACATATACTTCCTACAGATTATATATTAGACATATAATCAATATAGTACATTGTTGAATTTGCATATTCTATTCTACGCTACTTTTATTAAAAAGAACATAACTCAATTCAAAGAAATACAAAGAGACATCCATGTAAATATTATATTTTAATAATATTAAAATAATTAAGTACACAAATCGCTTATCACTATTTCTGTAATAATATAACGTTACTCAAATTTCTAATTCATATAAAACAATTTCCTAAGTAACGCAATAAGTGCTTATTATAATTATGTTTAAGGTTATAAACTATTTTTGAGTGTATTTTCTAAATACTTACAGTAATAAAAGTGCAGTTAATACTTTTTTTGATAATCAACTTGACTTGATCGTATTTCTTACTCTTTTTTTATAAAGAATGATCTAATTTTAATGAAGAGGTAATCAGTATAATAATTATCATTCTAATTTTTTAATTATTACGTGGTATCAAACATGTGAATCCGTAATGAATGATCAACTTTATTTACTTTTGTTAGATGGCAGTGGGTCTCTAACTGGGACGCCGATAAACCAATACGTATGCCTGAATATGAATGATCAATGTAAGAAACTCAAGCACATATTAAATCAAACCGTCATCTATTACTACAACTTGTTCAAGTGTTAGTCATCAGTGTTTGAAAAGTTATAAATGAGTATACGTGTTCTTTATCATTTGAAATGTACAACAGCCTTCGATTGTCCGCACTTTTAATCATTGTAATGAAATAAATAATGGGCAGGGATATAGTATTTTTTATTAAAAAAATGTCTACAAATACATTTTAGTAAGAATGAAGAGATACACAGTTTACACAGTTCCTATTGTTGAGTATTACAATATCAATTAATATCTTGAAAAAATTAGACTATTGAAAATACATTAGAATTTTTTTGACAGACAATATTATGGTAATTTAATACACATCACAATCACTTATTATTATAAGAGAAACATTTTTGAATAACTTCATTTTTTAAGGCTATCTCATAAAAATATATTATTCATTATTTTATGGAATACATTTCCGCAAGAAAATACTTGACAACATTTAGTTTATTTTTCATGATATGTAATACATGAATTACTCAGTCATGGTAATTAGAATCATATAAAGCTATTTCCTCAAAATTATACTAATATGATCATTAAATACTACCAAGTTATATTACTTCTATAACTAATATCACAAAGATATAACCCTCACTTGTCAAGTCTATTAAATACTCTGTATCTACGTAATTATCAGCTTAAGATCTTTACAGTAAATTTATAATCATTCATAAAAAAGTTAGTTTACATTTACAAAGTTTTTTTAAATAGTGTATAACAAACTCTTGTTATTAGATTTATTTATTTGTAAATTATTTAAGGTTCTAGTCTCAAACACTTCCTAAAATCATATAACTTAAGTTCTAACATTTATGAACACACGTAATACTTTTTTTTCTTAAAATAACAGTTTTTCAAACTAAATACGTACTTACTTTAGTTCTATTTATTTCTTAACCCATTAACGTCCAAAATGTCCAAATTTCTTGCACATTTTCAAAGTGATTTTTTCCTATGTAATTGGCGTTGAAAAAATTCTTGAACCACATATTCTGATGTAAAATTGCATGCTCTTTCAGAATCCGTTGCCAGAATCATGATAAAACTCACAGGAAAAGAGGTATGCTCGATTGAAACATAAAAAACACCTAAATTTTCGAAAAAAAAAATTTTTAGGATTTTTTTTCGAAGTGTTACGGTGAAGATATCACCTTGCGACCGTGATCA